TTGAAAAGCTGAAGATTATTTGCAAGAAGAAGTAGAGCATGCAGGTCTCCCCAGTCCACGTTCACTTTTATTTGAGCGTCTTGGTACCAACACTGACTAGTTTAGTCACAGACCCCATGTTTGAATTTACCCAAGTGTTACCTGCGTGATCGATTGAATGGACGTTGAGGTCAATAGTTTATTTTGAAAATATGTTTTAAATTGTAATGCGTTCTTTTCTTTGGAAGTACTCATTTATTGCCTTTGATTGGATGGGCCCAGTCAGGACACAAACTGAATGTGAAAAACAGGACGTGACACACGTTGTAGATCCTATACATCGTGCCCGGATGTGCTGTATTCTTGTAAAATCTCGCTGGTTTTTGAGGTCAACTTGCACTCTCTCAAAGAATATTTTCTTCATTCGAGGGGTGAAGTATGTCATATTTCTGTGATGTCATGCTGACAGGCAACTGAAATGCAAAACAAACACCTAAGTATAAGTATATTTCTCATGTTGTTTTGTCCACATAAAACAGTAAAAGTCAACACTTTTAAACCACCAATATTACAAGAGATAAATTTATGCAATAATGAATGGAATAGTTTGTTGGGCATTACGTGACCACACCATCCAATTTTTGTTAACAGATGTGACATGGTCAATACGGGTTGAATGCAAATTAACCAGGCGCTCAGGTTTACCTCAAAGTTTTACGAGATTTTAGGGGTACATCGGGAGTCGATCGGGAGTTACCGCTAGTTAAATTCTGCACTCTTCCCCAACAATCACTCCATTCCTCCGTTTCCTAAAATCCCCCATCAGATTCAGAAAAGTGGGCCTGGGCAACGGACAGAAGCGCTCCAAGGAGTTTGAAGAGTTCGTCCTGACCAACCGCCAGTACCTACGCAACAGCCTCAAGTTCTGCGAGCGGGCCTGCCAGCGCATCCTGAGCTACTCCAACAACTTCCTGCACAAGAAGCTCAAGACGGAGCCCAATCGGAGGGAGAGGATCGAACGCACCAAGGGCAAGATGGCTCTCGGGCTTCTCAAGGAGATTACCGATATACCGGACATCAAATGCTGCGAGGCCGAGTGTTCAATGGTCAGACTTTACAGTCAACTTTTTCGTGATTGTTGGGAGCTCACATGATTTTCAATTTCATAGGTTTGCACACTACGGGCAAAATTTTTCCAGCATTGTATGCTCATTGTTATCTGAGAGTTTGTTTGAAAAAATTACATACGTAAGCCACTTTTCCATAAGCATGCTTTCAGTCTGTGTCTGTTACCCACGATCGTAGTGCAGACGCCTGAATTGTCACTAACCTACTAAGCACATGTGTAGGTCCTTACACTGCAGTGTTGGTCCTTCCACAAAGCACCTTTGTAGGTCCTTTTGACACCACACCTGTGTAGGTCCTTTCAATGGCAAATGTGCCGTCACCTGAATAAGCACCTGCATCCAAAAACCTTTCTGGTTGCAATATAGTTCACTAATGAGTCAAGCACGTGTAGGGAAGAAATGAAAGGAAAGTTTTTTGGTCATCTTTTTAGATGGCACGAAGTCATGGTGTTCTTCTCAAAACATGGCGGGAGAGGGCCAACATGGGCCAGGCAGAGGCCAGGAAAGTACTTGCTGAGATGTTGACCCCTTCAGGTGAGTAACTGAGCTCTTGGTGAATATCCTGTGAGTTTTTACAGCAGACACAGGGAAAGTACTCACAGAGTTTGACTCCTGGTGAGTAACTGAGCTGTCGGTGAATATCCTGCGAGTTTTTTGCAGCAGAGATAGGGAAAGTACTCACTGAGATGTTAACTCCTTCATGTGAGTGACTGAGCTCTCAGTGAATATCCTGTGAGTTTTTACGGCAGAGACCGGGAAAGTACACACTGAGATGTTGACTCCTTCAGGTAAGTGACTCAGCTCCCACTGACAATCAGGTGAGTTGTTAAAAGCCGAGATGAGAGAAGTAGATCATTGAAACTGACCCATGGTCTCGAGGGAGTGATCTTGCCTCCGGTAAGCATCAAGAAGCCTCAGTCACAGACTAAGAATGTCTTGAAATACCGATAAAGAGACAAAATTTCGCAATTTTATGTATTGGCAGTTTTGTTATCTTCTTCTCACCCGTTGAACAGGCAAGGTTTCCAATTGCGCCTACTTCATCACCCTGGTCACCGGCTGCAGTCTGAGCACCATCCAGAGCGTGGCGGCCCAGATGCGGGCCACCGGCGGAGACCGGGAACCCCCGGCCCACGGTCTCAAGAAATACTGGAAGGACAACCCCCGACGGCAGCCCAGCCTGAGCGAACTGGACGAGGCCATGACTGGTGGGAGCAGGGACAGCCGGGCGGGAGCTCAGAAGGCTGCAACGGATGGAAGCACCGCGGAAGGAGTTGATGTGGATAACGCGCCTGCCACCGAGATCGAGACGCCAGCTCTGACAGCGGTAATGCCTTCTCAAGCAAACCAGTGCCTTCTCAAGGGTTATAATCAGAGTTATAATCAAGCCAATCACAAAAGAAAAGAATCGTCTTCCAAACTCAAGCAAAGCTACAACCTATTCGAAATTGTAACAAGGGCTTTTCATTGTTGTTGCTGCTCTTCCTCTGTTACTCGTGAACTAGTCATATCGAAAGTCAGGTCACAAGTAGAAAGTTTATTTCTTTCTCATAAAAATCCCAGCCACAGCTGCGGGACCAGCAGCAGCAACTGAAACGCTTGCAGCAGCAACTGGAGGAGCAACAGCTCCGCATCTGTCAGCGGCAGGCCATGATCGAACAGCAGTTGCAGCAGCACAAGCTGAAACGACAACAGCAAAAACAGCGTCAACACCAGCAGGAGCAACAACAGCAGCAGCAGCAACAACAGCAACAGCAGCAGCAGCAACAGCAACAGCAGCAGTTGACAGAGACACAGCAGCGAGAGATGATACAGACGCAACAGCAGGTCTGTACAAAGTGGATTCAATACGTAGGCTTGTGGTTTTTCCTAGTTTTAAATGTACAGACAATCTTAAAAAAAATGATATTAACAAAATTAGAATTTGGGATAAAGTAAACATTTGGAATCGCCACTGTTTACAGGCGTCGTCTGAGGAAGTAGGCAGCCAGCCAGCACCACGCCCACAGGCGGACCCGCAGCAGCAATCTTCACAACAACTGCACATGAACCAGCTGGCAGCACAGCAGCAACTTTTACTGCAACAGCTTGGGGCACAACAGGCGAGTCACAAGCTGTTTAATAGACTAATCCATTAAAGACCCACCCAATGCACAAGTAGGCGGGGCTTAAATAGACTTATCAGTTAAGCCCCACCCACTCCACAAGTTGGTAACAACACGTGCCTGTGGTTGGTCAAAGCATAATGAAGGTGTTAATGGATCAGTCTATTCACGTCACAGAGTTTTAGTTTCACGCGCGTTCTGAAATAAATTATTCCAAAGATTAGAATTAAGTTAAATGTTAGAAATAATGAGTGCCGTGTAAGAAATAATGAGTGAAATGTGGACCGTTGCCTATAGCTCTGGAGTGCAGTCAATGGAAAATTGGTGCATAAACTTTGCCTGTTCAAATCCAAAGTCTCTTTGGGTTGACAAAAGTCGTACCACATTAATTTAGATTTTGAGTGACCGCGGAACGCCAGTCTCACATGAGTGTTTGTTTCCATTGCCCAAAGTACAAGATGTTTGAATGTGTATTGGGTTTTGATTATGCAACAGATCGCGCAGCAGTTAGCAGCACAGCAGCAGCAGGTAGCATCCACAGGAACAACTGTTGCAGTGGCGCAACCACCTGCAGGTCTGGAAGGCATGATGGACAGCAGACTGCTGCAGCAAAACATGCAGCAGCTACTGCAGGAAATCCAGAACCAGATCAACGTGCAGCAGAACAGCATGCACCAGCTGCTGCTGGAGATGCAGAGCGAGATGACGACGCAGCAGCTGCAGCAACTTGGGATTCCCAACCCCAACAGCAGCGGTGTCAGCAGTGGGACGACGGTCCAGACCATCACGGCAGCGACGGCATCGCAGCCCCCACCAAGCTACAACGCTGCTGTCACACTACTCAATGCACTGAACAACGGACAAATGTTGAACAGCAACTCGGTGCTGAACACGTCAACCCAGCTGCTCCCGCAACAGCAGCCTCAACAGCAAGGTCCCGCAGCGAGGCAAGGCACAGCGCAACCAGCTCAAGTCATCATCCAGGCCATCCCAGCAATACAGCAGAACTTCCTCCTCGGCGGGACAGCCTTACACGGTCAACTCCTCCAAGGTTCAGTCGACTCGCGCCAAACCCCCCAGCAGATCCTGGTCTCTCTCCCACCAAGCCTGACCACAGAGTGCATGACCAGCTCTTCCCTGACCAGCACCTCTCTAAGCCAGGACTCGCTCAACCCGGACATGGTGGAGATCGTGGAGTTGCAGCAGATCCCTCTAGGATCCAGCGACCCGAGCCAGTCGCAAGGCAACGGCATCCAGCAAGTCAACCTGACCAACGAGTTGGATGCCGCAGCCCTGGCCAGACTCAGCCGGGTCCTGAGCTCGCAGGAGATGCGACCAGGGATGGGATCCACTCTCCCGCAGCTACACGGCCGAACACCCCGCACAGCCACCAGCACTGCTTCAGACCTTGCTGCTCTAGCGAGAGATACCACAGTTCAGTCCGTCTTACAAGGAGACTCGACAGATGGCCAGGCTTCGACGTCCTCTTCGCTTGCCAATGAAGCCTCTCAGCTGAACATGAACATTGAGTCACTGCTACCGGAGTTCCAGATAGCAGGACCAGGGGGACAGAGCTTAGCCGTGTTCAAGCAAAATAATCCGAGCAAGCCAAAACACTAACAAATACGTTGTAAAAGGTGGAAACTTGAGATTTAACAAGGACCTTACATGGTACCTCAAAATCTCATTTTCGAATTACCACTTTATTTTGCATTCTTAATGCAGAATGCTTAAATCGTGTACTTGGATTACAAATCATCAAAAAGTGATATGTTGGCATTTTTGTTTATATAATCAATGTTATTTATTTGTAGTTAACCAAATAACTTGTACACAAGACAGCATAATGTATATTAAGACTGATTTATATAAGTGGCTTATTTGGGTACTGTATTCCTGCACCAATTACAAATGTATTCAGATTCGGAAGATCAATTTTGGACTAGAAACGTAAAAAATATAGGTTCACCCTCATTTCATTTTCAGGAAATAGAACAAAAACAACGAAAATTTTGATAGTACACAACAAAAACAAGCAACAACTGAAAATGTCAAATACAAAAGTTTATTTTGTGAGGATGCTATGTGCCAGTGATTCTGTTGCCACAGACATCACTTTTGTAAAAACTAAAATATTTTGCCTGCTGGGACAAAATAAATGAAGAAATGTCTGTCCGGACAAAGTTGCAACAAAAAGTATTTTAACGTCAAGTTATTTACCTTAATATCATGATTTTCAACATCGTAATTTCTACTCGGAATTGTGTCGTGTATTTGAAACCCTATTCCGATGCACTTTGTACATTTTAAAGTAAGAAGTTTTGCTAGTTGAATCTAACAATGTGCTGTGGAAAGATTGACCCAAGTTACGAAACTTTGTACTCCAAATAAAGTTTCTTTTTGTGGCAGACAGTATCATAAGTACAAACTGACAAACGTTGAAAACTCTATAGACCATGCTTTCAGTCCTTTTGTATGTTGCCAAAAACTTCCGTTGGGACGGCCTGGGTCTCCACTTGCACCTCTGTATAAGAAATCATGAAAATGAAAAGAACCACAGCATTAAAAATTGGTTTGGTATGTATGCTGTAAAGCAAGATAGCAGTGTAAAGATAAGGGAATAAATGTGTGCTTTGCCGGTTTTAAACACTACGTTTAAGACCGGTTTGGTGTCTGGACGCTGATAATGACCCAAGCCAAATTGATAAATTCCTTTTCGGTCAAACAGTCAAAACCAGTCAAAATTGATTTTGTTCAAAAATGTTACTTCATGTTTTTTTAAACACCCCTTTAGCTATGGTGTATCCCTCTCGCGAGTACGTCGTAAACTACGACTCCTTTTATGGTTTTTGGTGCGCGTACTGCGCGATGTGGCACAGAACGCAGCTGTTCTGGTGTATTGTGAATTTAGGACTATGAAATACTGACTCATTGGTAGTATTGCGCATGCTTACATGAGGATTGTGAACATTCAACCATGAAAACACGGACCCTCTGTGTAGAGGGTCCATGGTTCAACCAATAAAACAGCAACAGGCTCTCGATTTCATCGGAGTCCGAATTTTATGTGACACTGGAAAAGTGTTGTAGACCAGCCAGCTGTTCTTATCAACTGTTTAATACTGGCCCCATGACAGGCTCTCGACCAATTGACCTATCGCGGTAGAATCACGATATACAAATAGACGCGGAACACGCATAGACTGAGACAAGCAAAACTTAGTGTACATAAATTCCGTATAGTTGTCTAAGGGGCGTTGTTAACTCGCAAACGGCGATAGGTCAATAGGAATGGGTAAACTGTCTTTAGGTATTTATCAATAACTGTTAATACTGGTTCATACTCCATGCGAATGTACCATGAATTGAAACATGTCAAATTCTGTGTGCCACTTGGTGCATTCACAGTGCAAAGATTTCTACGCTTTACTTACCATCAACATCTTCCCCGCTATCTTCATCCTCATCGTCATCAATGTTGATCTCCTCTGGATTAGCCGTCCTCACTGCCTCGGCCAACTCAGCATCGCTAGCCTTAGCACTCCCCCTAAAATGAAAGGTTTACATGTGAGTATACGTGTAGCATATCTGACGGATGAACACATGGGCAATTCCAGCGTTATGAAAGAAAGTGTAATGTCAGTGACAGACTTAATCAACCATGATATCTAATAAGGGAATAAATATGTGTTCGGTCGGTATTATAACACACTGTTTAAAACCGGTGAGAGTCTGGATGGGTGATAATTATCACCCATCCAGACTCCCACCGGTCTTAAACAGAGTGTTTAATACCGACCAAACACATATTTATTCTCATTCATAAATACCTTTTCGGTCAAAAAACAAAATCTTTTCGGACCAAAAATCAAAACAAGTCAAAAACCAGACGTTGCCAACCATTTTGTTCAACAAGTTTACTTCATGTTTTACGAAACACCCCTCTGACTATAGTACGGAATGCCCCTCCACAACTCGTTACCTTATAAGGACATTGGCGTGCGCGTCGCGCGTACTGCGTGATGTTGCGCAAAACGCAGCTGGGCTGGTGAAGTGTGAATTTCGGACCATGAAATCACTGATTCACTGGTAGTGTTGCGCATGCATACGGGAGGAATTTGAACGTTCAACCAATGAAACGTTAAAAGGCACCGAATTTCATGGGAGTCCAAATTTCATGTGACACTGGAAAAGTGTTTAAAACCAGCTAGCCATGTCTTTATCATCCGTTTAAGACCGGCCAAGTGACTGGCTCTCCACCAATAGGAATGCGTAAACTGTCTTAGGTATTTATGAATTAATGACTCAGAGAAACGATAAGATAGTCTGTAATCTCCTAGACCATTACTAGATGATGGATGCATACGATTTGAAAAATGCATTTTCAGGTTTATTCACTGAGCTCTTAAATGCTCTGTCACGGACATTACATAATACTAGAATTGCCCACGTACTAAATTTTCACTGGAATGATTAAGCTGTAATTTGATTTTCAATACTTCAAACTCAAAATGTCAAACATTCTACAGGTCAATATAACAGAAGTTTATTCACATTTTCACAAATGGCAAAAGCCACCAGCAAATGGCTCATTTTTATTTCGCTGGGTGCACCACGAAGTGATAAATACAATAGTTTTGCTAAATCATGAAGTGACATCATCTTGTACCCACGATGCCTCACTTCGTAGTGGGATAAATATCCACCATGTGTCACTATGTGATGCGACCGACAATTTTTTCCTCCATTTTTATTGGACATGAGGACTTTTGTTGCAGTCACTCACCTCACAAAGAGAATATCCTTCTTCGTCTTGGGTTTATCGGCCTCAGCTTCAGCCGCCATAACTTGAGCTCTCTGCTCCAGTAGCTTCATGTCGTCCATACCGCCTGAGCCTAGATCAGAAACTGACACAACAACGACATCCCAATTATTAAAACCAGTTCGTAATTCACACAAAAGTAAATGCGAAAACGGACTTGTGACATCCTGGCAAAGTTTCCGGTTGCGAATTTGCCGAAAGAGAAACACATTTTAACTCTGAACTTTGCAGTGAATGTTTTGTGACGTCAAATTTGCAATGAACATTTAATAATGCAGACAGGACTATGTATACAAAACAGGGCGTGAAGTTTAATTAATAGGAAGAAAAAATTACTCAGAACACAATTTTAATTAAGTTTAAAGTACCTGTTCCAGCGGGTGTCTTGGCAGCTGCTAGCATTTGGGCTGACATAAAATTGACCTGTTTGACGAAAAAAACAAAGATCGAGGCAACATGTTAAAAACATCAGGGTGGGGAGTTTGGCCTTGTGGTTAGGGTTTGTGACTCATGATCAGAGGGTCAGGGGTTCGAATCCAGCTGCTGGCCATATGTTGTGTCCTTGGGCAAGCCATTTTACCGCACTTGCCTCAGTCCACCCGGGACTATAAATGGGTACCGGCATTAGCTGGGGAGTAACCTGCGATGGACTGGCATCCCGTCCAGGGGAAGTAGAAATATTCTCAGTCTTTTCTTGCCAAGGAAACCAAATGCTGGCCTGATGGGCCATGTTGGCTTGTCACAGACTTTACTTTAACATGTAGTAAAGACAATGTTATTGCATCCATCTTGTCCATGGGCAAGCCACTTTACCTCGCTTGCCTCTCTCCACCCAGGAGTATGGACTAACATCCCATCCAGGGGGAATAAAAATATTCTCAGTCATTTTATGTTACTGAAACCGTTGATAAACACCAGCCTGATGGGCCATCTGGGCTCGTGACAGACTTTTTTTTTCATATTGGACACAATTTCCCAACAACGTCCGCAGAATCTTTCCCCAACGGGAAGTTGTTAGGAATCCTTCAACTAATACTTGAAACCTTGTCGTTAACTTTTCCTGAATATTTGATGAAATGACTCCTGAGGATTTTGGATCTCGTACCTGTGTGTTGTAGGTTGCCTGCACACTGCGTTTGATTCTCAGCATCTCCCGCACCGTGTCTTCGTTCCCGTGCTTGATCTCAAATTCTTTCCACGTCTGCCAGAAAGTGGCGGTGGTCTGTAAAGAAAGAAACAAGAAATTTGCACAGTTGTTTTGCTTTTTGGAGGAGTGAAAATGGGGTTAAAAAATGCACTTTTGTGAGTTTTTTTAACATGAAGTATTGCAGAGCCTCAGAATTACAATACAAAGATGGATTTTAAATTTTTTAAATATTTTCCGAAAAGGGTTAGGGTAATGTCTTGTGGAGATATAATTTCTTATGTGATATTTTTTCGCACTCTGGTTAGCTGGCTTTTAAAACAAACAAACAAACAAACACAAACAAAAAAAAGTTTTGAAACCCAAAACTATCCCCAAAATGGCTCCTAACAAATTATTTTCAAAATGTCCCGTCAGCATAGCAATGGGCCTAATGTGAATTTTTAAAAGTTTATTTCATTGACTTACTCCCTTTATCCTACAAAATATTTCAAAAATTAATTCTTTGACTGTGGACATTTATACAAAGCCTTTTCCACTGACTCTTATATAAATAAATAAATGAATACATAAATAAATAAATGAATAAACAATACTTCAGGCCAAAAAATATAATAGTTCTGCTTCCGGTTACCCTACCTACCCTATTTTCACAGCCCCTACCCTAATTTTTTTTAGGATAAAATGAGGGAAAAATCCTCAAAACCATCAATTGCTACCTTTTACCCTTGACTACACACAGACGCCGCCATATGATCGTACACAAAAAATTTGCCCCCCCCAAAAAAAAATCCCTACCCACCTACACTGTTTTTAAATGCCATGTAATCGGAAGCAGAACTTTTTTGGGGGCCTTAGCACTAGCAATACACTATACTACACTATATTTCCTCATTGATAAATCCATAAAACAATAGAGTGTTGGGCAGTTTGGGGCGGTATAAGGATTAACAGGCAGGGTGGTTTGGGGCAATACAGGGAGTAACAGGCAGGGTGGTTTGGGGCAGTACAGGGAGTAACAGGCAGGGTGGTTTAGGGCAGTACAGGGAGTAACAGGCAGGGTGGTTTGGGGTGGTACAGGGAGTAACAGGTAGGGTGGTTTGGGGCAGTACAGGGAGTAACAGGCAGGGTGGTTTGGGGCGGTACAGGGAGTAACAGAAAGGGCGGTTTGGGGCGGTACAGGGAGTAACAGGCAGGGTGGTTTGGGGCAGTACAGGGAGTAACAGGCAGGGCGGTCTGAGGCAGTACAGGGAGTAACAGGCATGGTGGTTTGGGCAGTACAGGGAGTAACAGGCAGGGCGGTTTGGGGTGGTACAGGGAGCAACAGGCAGGGCGGTTTCGGGCAGTACAGGGAGTAACAGGCAGGGCAGTTTGGGGCAGTACAGGGAGTAACAGGCAGGGTGGTTTGGGGCAGTACAGGGGGTAACAGGCAGGGCGGTTTGGGGCAGTACAGGGAGTAACCGGCAGGGTGGTTTGGGGCAGTACAGGGAGTAACAGGCAGGGCGGTTTAGGGCAGTACAGGGAGTAACCGGCAGGGTGGTTTGGGGCAGTACAGGGAGTAACAGGTAGGGTGGTTTGGGGCAGTACAGGGGGTAACAGGCAGGGTGGTTTGGGGCGGTACAGGGAGTAACAGAAAGGGCGGTTTGGGGTGGTACAGGGAGTAATAGGCAGGGCGGTCTGGGGCAGTACAGGGAGTAACAGGCATGGTGGTTTGGGCAGTACAGGGAGTAACAGGCAGGGCGGTTTGGGGTGGTACAGGGAGTAACAGGCAGGGCAGTTTGGGGCAGTACAGGGAGTAACAGGCAGGGTGGTTTGGGGCAGTACAGGGGGTAACAGGCAGGGCAGTTTGGGGCAGTACAGGGAGTAACAGGCAGGGTGGTTTGGGGCAGTACAGGGAGTAACAGGCAGGGTGGTTTGGGGCAGTACAGGGAGTAACCGGCAGGGTGGTTTGGGGCAGTACAGGGAGTAACAGGTAGGGTGGTTTTGGGCAGTACAGGGAGTAACAGGCAGGGTGGTTTGGGGCAGTACAGGGAGTAACAGGCAGGGTGGTTTGGGGCAGTACAGGGAGTAACAGGCAGGGTGGTTTGGGGCAGTACAGGGAGTAACAGGCAGGGCGGTTTAGGGCAGTACAGGGAGTAACAGGCAGGGCACTTCAGGACAGTACAGGTTTAACTGAAGTACGTACCCTAGGATCACATATCTGTGCGCAGTGAGCATAGATGGCCCGGGCGCGGTCAATCTCTCCTAGCTTCCTCTCGAGGTCGGCGAAGCGTAGACACATGTCCCTAGATTGGTCCTCCGGTAACACCTCAATAGCCTTCTCATAGATAGATCGAGTGTGGGTCACACCATACACCTCGGCGGCTCGCTTGATGTAAATGTTGAACATCTGAAGAAAAGAAAAACCCCACAAAATTTCATATTTCAATTTGCAAGTTTATGTCATGAATACCATTACAATTGAAGCTTAGTAAATAAGTGCTAAGCTGTGAACCAGCTAAAACACCATACACCACATGACATTTTGGCTGGTACCTGTTTTTGCCGAGCAATTTTTAACAAAGCAGTTAATAACAAATAATTAATAACAAAGCAATTAATAACAAAGTTTTCATAAGATGAAATTTTGCGCCGCAAAATTTCATCTTATGAGTTGTTTAATTGCGGTACCTGCTGCTACATGCACATCAGATTCGAACCAGCCAACTGATCCCGTTAGCTTGGTGGTCGAGTGGTAAGACATCTGCAATAGAAAGCAGGAGATCGTGCGTTCGCGTCCCACACGAGTGATTTTTTTTCCACTTTCACTCAGGAGGTAACACACTGAGTATACAGTGTTTATACATTGGTTGGTGAAGGCAAAACCTAATACTGAATTAACAATGTTTTGTTCGCAAAGTCGCCTGACCTCATTTTGTTCCTCCGGTAGAACCCCTTCCGTTCCCCTCTCGTACACCGCCATGGCGTGCCTCGCTAGGCCATAATTCTCCTCCATCTTGGCGTACAACAGGATAATAGCTGCGAACAGATAAAGAAATTATAAATAAACTTCGGGGCCAATCATCGGTTCTCACAGCAGACACTGAATTGCGAAAGACGTGGCTACAACGTGGTCGAGCCGCAGGCATGTAAAGTCGCCTTTGGCAGCTGCGATACAGCCCATGTCTGACCACGGAGCACAGCCAGAGATCGAAAGTGTTGATTTTTTTCGGAGAGAGGAAAACCGGTAGTCTGAGTATCACCCGTTATCCACCGAGCCCAGTCTCCTGTACAACGTCTGATATATCTAAGCATGCAGATTTATGCGATCCCGCGCCTTGTTTTTATCCATGTCTATGACGCGACAACCGGTGATTGACCTGAGACCCGATATAGAAAGCGCCCGCTGATTGGTCAAAATCTAGAGGTCAAGATGTGGTTGTCTTGCATAATTAATCAGCGAATCTGCTCAATTACATCAACTAAGGTACCGGAGGGCCCAGAGAAGAGCCCTTGTGGCACAGGAGAGACTCAACGAACAACTCTACTCACATATTACCCGAGCTGGGAATCCAACCCAGGCCACATGGTGAGAGGTGAGCACTTTACGCACCAGCTACCCATGCCACCCACAGATATATTTGATAAATTCAATCACTTGAAGGAAATTTATTGTATCTATGAAATTGATAATGTTTCAATAGATAATGTTCCGAGTATTTCCATGACATTTTGGCGGAAGATGGGTCTCCTACCTTTAGCGAATTTCTTGGGGCAGCCATCCAAGCACTGCTCAAACAGATCCCTCGCTCTCTCGAGTTTTTTGCCACCCTGAAAAATAAAACACAACAAAATGAAGCACATATGTAAAAACAAAAAACAATATGGCGATGGTCACTTTCTAGCCACCGAACCACTTCACATCTGGGTAAAAGGCAGGATCATTCCTAGCCCAGGTTAGACGTCAGTCTTCGTTGCATTACGACTGACGTCCAGGGTATTAATTCTACTACCAAAGCGAAAAAAGTTACAACACTTTTTTTCATATTTTTATCGAATATTCCTTGTGTCCAGGATTACGCCTATACTTGGTTTAGAAAAAGGTAAATGTCCATTGGCGACATGTTTACCGAAAATATACCAAAGATCCATGCTTTTGTCAAAAAACATTTCCCGTACGAACTCCCCATGTAAAGACTTACGCGTGCGTGTAACAGTTACTATGCCATGTATATATGCAACCAGGGCGTGCATGCACGCATCAGTCTTAACATGACATGTTTGTACTGAGGATGTTTTTGACAAAAGCGCGGATCTGCGGGTTATCTTCGGTAAATCTGTTGCCCACGGACATATTTACCTTTTCTTGTACTATCTACTTTACAATGACGTGGTTGCTAATTAAACGCTTGCCTACTGCAATGGTGGTTGATCATGGGGACACCGGATGGTCACGTGATGCTTTTACATCATATGATTGGAACCTTTTGATTCTAAGTATTAAGCGGTATGGACGAATCAGACTTACGTATCTCTCGATGAACTTCGTCAGGTAGGTATTCCAGATGTCGTAGACATTCGGCCACTTGAACAGCGCAATGCCCTTCTCGTAGGCCTAGATTATTAGTTTGGACAGATTAAGAAAAATGGAATATTGTAAATATTAAAATCCGGCAAAATAGTGCGTCATGTTCTGCCGGAACATTAAAGGGTCCATGAGATCATTTTTTTTTAGGAACCCATTTTGTATAAACTTTCTAATCCTCTTCAATGTATTAAAACTATTTGACATACCTTTTTGAAATTTTTTTTTAAAAATGTTCTTTGCTTGTTCAGACAACTGAGGCGCTTTTGCTATGTCACTTCAGGAAAACATTGTTAAGTTTTGGGGTTGCTCATTCAAAACATCTGTGAGAAAAGTTTAATCATCGGCTTACTGCCATGTATTGACACAACAACGAATCACCGAAGACAAGAAAATTTACGACAGCAAAATAACAAAAATTCTGCCAACTTTTGGTGCTGAAATACTGGAACATTGAAGTTTCTGCCTGAAATGATATCACACTTTTGCTCATAAATATGGAAATTAGCATTAGCATAAAAACCAAAATGGCACCAAAATACCGTTGAAAATGGCAAATTGTGAAAATTGACAATAAGGTTAAATGGGACACAAAGGTGCATTTTCAAGGATTGCATAATAAAAATTACATTGCATGGGCCCTTTATAACCATGCCAAATTTTAATAAAATAATTTTTTTAAACAGCAGGGCAAAAAAAACCTGCCATTTGTCTTCAAGAAACAACAAAACTAAAATCAATCATTTCCCCCACTGGGGAAAGAAGGGCCATTTTTACCTTGAAAGCCTCCTCATAGTAGTTGTGTTCATCTAGGAACATGCCGTAGTTGATGATGATTTGCGGCGTTGCTATTCTCAGGTCGATCATTCGGTCGTAGACGGCCTTTGTACTCTAGACAGAAAAAAAAAATAACAGTTTATTTTTGGACGTTTTTAATTGTAGTATAGATTAAAATTTAAATGTTTAAAAGGATAAGTCAAAATTTTCACTTGCATAACAAAACTTCCTGGAAATTGAATATTTTGCAGCAAAATCTTCTTAACATTTGACTTCTTTCATAAACTAGGCTTTTGTTTTTGTTCAGAATTTGTGCTTAGCAATAAGAACACAAAATATAATAAACCAACTTCTCTTCCCTGCCTGATTCCATTTTTTCCCCGTCTGCCTCTTTTTTTTTTAGCTGCGAGTAGCAGCTCAACAAATCATCATGTCTCTCCGTTAGTCCAGACATTAGTTGGTCAGTTCGTTAGTTAGTAACAAACGTTGACATTGTCTATTGCTCGTACATATTTGGACCGATTTCAACCAAACTTTGTCAAAAGTATCAGTAGCCCATCCCAACATGTCACATGACCAAACTGGGGTCAAATATCATCATGGGGTCAATGTCAAAATAATGTCAAATTTCACAGAAGCTCATACATGACAAAAGTATACATGACAAAAGCGCCGTCAACATGTTGGCCTTGGGCAAACATTAAAAACTGTCCATGGTGACTTCCTCGTCTGACCTACAGTTTGGGGTCAAAGGTCAAAATAGGTCAAATTTCATCCATCTTTGAAAATCTGCCATCTTGGAAAAAAATTTTGTTGAAAAGTGCCGCTTCCTCCCATTTTTCAAAAACTCCAGACAAGAAAATATGTTTTTGTTCTTCAACTAGTCAAACAGAACTAAGCAAAAGAATTATAGTAAAGTAATTAAACCAAAAAAACCCTTACCTTAAAGGTTCCAAAACTCTCTTCCAGATCAGCGTACATCGACCAGACCTTCAGGTTCTTGTACAACCGGTTTTGAACAGGCTCACTCTGCGCAAAAATGGCAAGAGAATTAGTACAAAATTTCTATATTTCAGAAGAAATGGTTCCTGCGTTGGACCCCAGAACTTATTGGTACTTAAATAATAATAATAATGTGGTGCTTGGATGAAGGCCGCCTTCCAAAGTCTGTCTTGTATGGCGAACTGAAAGACAGCCCACGTCCAATTGGCAGGCCGAAACTTCATTATTTGGGCGTGGTGAAACGACATCTGGTTACAGCCAACGTAGACTGTAAACCCTTCAGAAACTGGGAAGTGCTTGCCGCCGACTTGGCGAGCTGCCGTAGGAGCCGGGCAAATGTCGGCAGAATCAGCGAGGACAATTGTAGTAAAGTGACTTGCCCAAGAACATAAGCACCGTGTTCCCCGTCAGGGTTCGAACCCAAGGCACATGAGTCGAACACCATTACCACTGGACCACGGCGATTCAACTTTTAACCCAATAGACCTTTATCATGCTGCCACCATTTCAGTCATGTTCCCTGTATCCAATAACAGTGCTGAATGATAATGTGTTTTTTTGCAAAAAAGGAACCAGACTATTTTTCCTTCCAGCTTCACTTTGGTTACATTGATTTGAATGGGGAAAAATCAAACGGCTGCAACATGATAATGGTCTATAGCAACAGTACTACACTGCAGTATGTACAGTCGACTCTCGTTAGTACAAACTCTGTTAATACAAAATTCTGGTTATAACAAACATAAAGCCTTGGTCCCGACTGTGCATTTATGTGCACAATGAATGGGACTGATGTTCCTCTTAATACAAAATTCTGATATAACAAACAATTTGGCTAGGTTTGAACGAGTTTGTTATCACGAGACTCAACTATATTCCCTGACGAATGCCATCCAAAGTGTTTGATCTAAGTCACCGACACCTAAAAACAATTTTGGTCAAAACAAATATTTCTTGCAAAACTTTTTTTAAAGTAAAAAAAAGAAAAAGAAAAGAATCACCCAGCCTACCTTATCATAGTATGCAGCTTTGTTCTTCGGTGTGGCAGTGGCCCGCCTCAGAAGAACCAGAGCTTCGTCGAAATTTCTAAAAAGAGAGTGAAAAAGTTGTGCTCAAAATGCATTTCTGTCGAAATATTTAAAACATAAAAAAAGTAGAAATTTAAACTCCAGCTTGAGACTTGTGTTACCATGCTGCAGTAGGGCTGAAATGTGTCCAACGTTTGCGAATTTGCAGCGTGACGATTTGCCGTGACGTTACAGATTCGCGTTCGCGTCCGCTTTCACGTAAATCGGCTCTAATGCTTGCTGCATACTCACTCATGCCTGAGCTCCATTTCTGCCCATTCACACCAGACGGCTCCCAAGTCATCCACTTTGACGTACAAGACTTTTGTGCCCTTTTCAAAAATCAGACGAGCCTGCAACGAAAAAGAAAAAAATTGAAAACAATTAAACATTTTCATTGGGTCCATATAATTCTTTCAGTCATATCAACTTTTGACATAATTCTTTCAGTCATATCAACTTTTGCAATGAATGCACTTATGCAACAAAAACACTGTTCAATTTTGTTTTGCACAAATGTGACGTGGCTTGTCAATACCAGGGAGAATTTGGCAGATAACGAATAGAGGAACTCCTGCAGAATTACAGGGGGTGATTTTCAGCGATTTTGAGACTTTTTGAAATTTCTGATGCTACTAATGTTTAAAATGTTATGTGAAAGTGTCAAACTGAAATTTAATTGACAGAGTATTTTTTCACTGAACTCTAACTTTAAAGGCCTATCTTTCACTTTGGACATTTCGGACAGTCCTATTTCAAAATCTCATAACTTCACTTTGGAATATCCAATTTCAAAAAACAAAGCGGTGTTTGAAAGAGTAAGATTTCTATTTTACTAAAATTGCAATAACTCAAAATTAACTTTTTGCCCAAATGGACCTGATTTTGACATACCACGTCACAAATGTATAAATAGATCAAAAGCACACACACACGCACACGTAGTCGTGTTCACACCGTCGATCGTGGAGGTCCTATTGTCCCTCTTTAGGAAGACTCCCATAGGTTTTGTACACGACCCCAATCGCGGACGTATGCTGGGAATTGTGGATGATATTGTTCTCTTTGTTCTCTGGTATTTTTCGTCCACGATTTGAATAGATGAACACTCCCACACATTTTAAAAGTCAATTTTTGGTAATCACTTGAGTTTATCTTGTCACATGTCTGCCAAGCTGTCCGTCAACCCATCTGTCACCCTGTGTGCGTCTGTCAGTGTGACTCCCTTTCTCACCTCAGGTATCTGTCCATGTTTCTCATAGTATTTGGCAAACTCTACCCAGAGTGTGTACAGCTTGCCGGTGGCCATGTTGGGGTCGACGGTCTGAACTGCTTCTGTGTACGTGTTGATTATCTGCACACAAAAAACAAGCAAAATTCTTGAACAACAGGTAGGAAAAATTGCTTGAAAAAAAAATCAGATTTTGTTAAACAGTACAGATAGTATAGCTTTATAAAACTTCAGCACAAAATAATATAAAGGGAATAAATGTGTGCTTGGCTGGTTTTAAATACTATGTTTAAGAACGGTTGGAGTCTGGATGCTGATAATGACCCGAGCTGAATTTATTCCCATTCATAAATACCTTTTCAGTAAAAAACTTTTCAGTCCAAATGTCAAAACAAGTCAATAATTTTAAATCACCAACGATTCTGTTCAATAGTTTTACTTCATGTTTCTTGAACACCCCTCTAGTATGCTATGGTATGGCCCTCCCGCGAGTCAGTCGTCAACAATTCCTTATGTGGAGATTGGCGCTACTGTGTGAGGTGGCGCAGAATGCAGCTGTGCCGGTGTAATGTGAATTTTGGACTACGAAATACTGACTCACTGGTAGTATTGCCCATGCCTGCAAGAGGATTGTGAACGTTCAACCAATAAAACGGTAATGACTCTGAATTTTATGCGAGACTGGAAAAGGGTTTAAGATCAGCCAGCCAGCCTTTATCAACAGTTTAAAACTGGACGTGGTCGGTTTTAAACGTGCTCTCGACCAATATGAATGGTTTAACTGTCTAAGGTATTTATGAATGATTAAGAACCAATTTCACTTCAAGTCCACCATATTTAAACATTTGCAAACAAAAATTAAAAAAACACAGAGATGGCTGCCTCACATTAACTGTAACTGCAAGTTTCATTTTTTTTTTGTGGATGAACCTTATTATAACATTTTTTGAAAAAAATGAAATGACACAGACCTCTTTCGGTTTGCCTTCGTAGAGGTTGACCCGTTTGTGCCACTCGTGGACATTGTGCGGATTCTGCCGGAGTAGGACACTGTTCAACAATAGAGGGCGCCTGTCCATCAGATCCTCGTATCGCTCCAGTCGCAACTCAAGGTCGGTGTCATCTAAAGTAAAAGGACATTTTAGACAAAAGTTAAAATCCAAACTTACAACAAATTAAAAGGGGAGATGTTTGCAAATTTTGGCTTGCTTGCTCAGAAATTTATCATGGTGTTTATTAGTCTTATTTCAGTAAATAATACCAGAGATGGTTGCTCTTAAAAAGAAAGTGGTGCATTTTCAGCCTCTCACAACAGTGACCAAAACATATAGATTTTTATAAAATTTGGTAGCCTATTAGAGACGTTCATGCTTGGTACATCTACAAAGTAACAATTTTATAATGATGATCATGTATATTTCCATTTCTGTCCGTGAATGAGTGCATTCTTCGGTCACTAGAAAAAATAAAATATTTTTGGTGACCCCTGTCACAAATTTGACATCTTGCGTAAACAATACTACCAATTTTCATGAAATATGTGTCAAAACGTCCCTAAGACATTAAGCTACAAACTCGAAAAGGTTCAAGCACAAAATAACACCTTGCTGCAATATCAGGGAAAAAAAGGTGTAAGGAGATGATTTTAGGGCTAAAATAGTTGACCTTCTTCGTTGTGACCCATCTCTGCGGTGGTCTCCATCTTGGCACTAATCATGCTCTCCTCAAACTGGGCATAGGCATCAAAGACCTACACAAGACATAATTTGGAAAAATCGGTGAAAAGGATTTAGGAAGGCAAAGAAAACCAAATATGTACATGTATATCTTATTTATTTTTTTTTTCCTTCAAATAAACCACGAAGGGAAACTGATTTAATAGGTGCACATTCATGGAAAATATGATTTATAGTTTCTGACTAGCACCCCTTGAACAAAGACATTTACAAAACGGGGAACTGCCGGGTGGCATGGGTGGCTAGTGCGTAAAACGCTCGCCTCTCACCAAGGTGACCACGGTTCGAATCCTGGCCGCGGATCACATGTGAGTAGAGTTGTGCGTTGGTTCTCTCCTGTGCCACAAGGGTTTTTCTCCGGGCCCTTTGGTTTTCCTCCCTCCGGAAAAATCAAACACTTTCGATCTCAGGCTGTGCTCCGTGGTCATATATGGGTCGATGTAGCCGGCAGCCACAGGCGCCTTTACGTGCCAGCGGCCCGACCACGTTGTAGCCGCGTCCTTTGCAATTCAGCATACCAGCTGCGAGTAAGGATGATTAGCCTCCCAAATTATTATTATTATTATAAGGCTGGATAGCTCAGTTGGTAGAGCACCGGAACAGCAATCCGGAGGTCGCAGATTCAACTCTGATTCTAGTCTAAGACTAAAGCCTAAGCTAAGTTTACCTGGGTGAAATCTCTGACGGTTGTCACTGTTTGAATGGCTTCCTCATAGATATCCCTGGCCTGTACAAAATAAGAAAAAAATAAAAGTGTCACGAGCCAATATGGTTCAGGCCTGCAATAATTCCGGTTTCATTCACATGAAAAGACTGAGAAGTCCTTATTCTCCCCGGATGGGATGCTAGTCCATCGCAGGTTACTCCCCAGCTAATGCCGGTACCCATTTATACTCCTGGTTGGAGAGACACAAGTGGGGTGAAGTGGCTTGCCAGCAGCTGGATTCGAACCCCACCCTCTGATCATGAGTCACGAAACCTAACCACTAGGCCCCACTCCCACTCAATCAAAGACACATCAGTTGAGTTGAACATCGTCCTTTTGGGGCAGAAATTGATAATGGGATCACGAAACTGGGAAACATCTGCCATACCGACCTTTTCAAAATGGCCGCTCCTGATGTAGTAGTCGGCCAATGAGCACCAGAGTTTGCCTCGTTCATCGGTGAAGCGTTTGATGCCGCCACGGATGATGGGATCCACCTTCAACGACGTCACCTTGGTAGGGTTCTTGCAGATGAGGTTACACAGGTCATGCCATAACTGTCGGGAAAAAAAGGAAGTTTTGCACAATTTTCCTTCAACAATGTACTAAAAATGTCTACTGTTTAGCCTTTGTGATACTTCATGGGAAATTGAGAGGAAAGTCTGTTCGTCTAGGTAACTGCAAATGTCACAATAAAAATTTCTGTTTGAGGCCATATTAGCTTAGGTTCCACTATGGACACCATATTAGATTAGGTTCCACTGTTGATACCATGATACCATGAAATTAGCTAAGGTTCCCATGTTAGAACCACAATATTAGCTTAAATTCCAATGTAGGTATCATATTAGCTTAGGTTCCACTGTTGGAAACCATGATATTAGCTTAGGTCTCTCTGTTGAAACCATGATATAAGCTTAGGTCTCTCTGTTGATACCATTATATATGCTTAGGTTCCATTGTTGATACCATGATATTAGCTTAGGTTCCATTGTTGATACCATGATGTTAGCTCAGATTTCACTGTTGACACCATGATATTAGCTTGGGGTCCACGGTTAATACCATATTAGCTTAGGTCTCTCTATCGATACCATGATATTAGTTTAGATTCCACTGATAATACCATGATGTCAACTCCAATGTTGGTACCATGATATTAGGTTAGGTTGAACCAATCCTTAACATAACTAGAATTCAAACTTTGGAGACTGACCTGGTGGTTCGACTTGCCAACTTTTGAGACAAACTTTGCATTGTTGACGATATCGGCCATTCTGACTGCAGCCTCATCCAGTCTGTCGATGGATACCAGGTACTCAATGTACTGCTCTGCATTTTCAGGAAAGAGCTAAGAATAAAAGAATAATGAATTTTATAATAAATACTTGAATCGACTTGTGATTTACTTGTGACTGGACTTGTGATTACAGACACCCCAACGGAAGAATATGAAACAGCATGTTCACTTCCCCAAAACGGGAGATCAAAAAACCTCAAAAAAGGAAGCTCACTTTGAGATATCGTCTGTACACCCTGACGGCCGTTTCGTGCAACGGGTACATCCGGACAAACTTGAGGTAGACGGGCCAGATCCGATGATGCTGGGTGATCGGGAGCGCCCTCAACGCTCGGTCAAACGTCCGACGAACACGCGAGATCTTGCGCTGGTCCAGCAGGAACTGGCAATAGTCCAGCCAGATACGAGGCATCTGTGAAACGGATAACGAGACGTATCATCAGGAGTTTGTTAAGCATAAAATCTTTTTGCAGGTTAACCAACGAGTACTAGGACATCTGCACCAGTAAGCAGGAGATCGTGGGTTCGAGTCCCACCCAAGTTAGCTCGTGAAATGTTTCTACCAAGCCCTCGGACAACATAGTCTATGTAATAGTATGTGTGAGCAGATTTGCTGGTTAATTAGGCAAGACAACCGCCTCTTGACCTCTAGATTTTGACCAATTAGTGGCGCTTTCTAAATCGGGTCTTTGGTCATTCGCCCGTTGCGTGTCATAGACAATGGATAAAAAAAAACTGTGTCACGCACTCTGTATCATGTTACACGATAATGCGCCCGGCTGTTGTTGCATTACAAAACACTGCATTCAAATTGACCAATCAAACCATTTAGTCCTGATTTGGGAAGGAAATGATGTCACGGTTTAGTAAAGTCGACTCTGATTGGCTGGAGCGCAGCTTGCATATATCTGCATGTCTAGATATCAGACATTATACAGGAGACTCTTGGCTCCGTGGATAACGGGTGATACTCAGACTATGGACAAGATTGCAAAGGACAAAATCCAGCATTGAAGTACCCCTTCGGTATTTAAAACAGCAGTTATCGTACCTTGTGCATGAACACTAGAGCTCTTTCGAAGACGTTGTTGACGTCCTCGTAACCAGGGTCAATGATGCAGCGACCTTTGACATGCTTCCGTCTGACCTTCAAGTAGTTGTACCAGAGTTTGTAACTATGGAGATAACAAAACATTAGATGAGTGATTGCCACTGGTTGGTTCAAAACCTGAGATTTCATTATGGAACGTTTAACCTGCTGTACTGTGTGTGACTGTATCATGCTGGCAACATCTGTCAATCTTTCAATCTTTTCAAGCCTCACAAATATTAACAAGGTTCCTATACATTTTGGTGTGCAGTAAAACATTGCATAAATACCTCCTTCACGAGTTATTAATTAATAAAATATCACTTCTATTGGTCGATACCGAGACCCACGCCAAGTAACAATAAGTGACGCTAATGAATATGCTGATTATGAGCTTCGTCATTGTACTGCCGGGCCGAAATTGGTCAACCATAGCGCCTATGGTGCTCAGGGTCTTTGCTGAAAACCACGTGTTGTTTTGGTCGGCAAAAAGTCCTCTTCGAAATTTTCCTTGGAGGTAGTTCAAGGTGTAACACTAACGTTTGCAACAACAGATTAAAGGGAATATACATCATTTGCTTTTACTGTAATTTTCAGAAATGGATGGAATTGGGGGGTTGGAAATATATAGCAAATATAGTTACACTGATTTTTTGAGGTTTTGGGTTCGAAAATGCTAAAAAAAACCAAGAAAAACAATTATTTTCCTGTAGTCTGGTTCCCTGACTCCATATAAGAAGAAACAGAGCAGTTTACATACATTGGGGAATTGTAAGGTCAGGGAACCAGTCTAGCTGGCTCGTACCCGTTCATAGGTTTGTAATCGATTGCAAACAAGTGCGATGGTCAATTGGGGCCAGTATTTGAAAAAAAAGCCAGTTTTTTCCAACGCTGATCGGCCGATCAGCGTTGGAAATTGATACAAAAATACCACTTTTCTTGAAAATGACAGTATACCAGGTGCCATGATTTTACAGGATGCTTTACACTGTCATTCACTAACAGTCCAGCAAGGTATTACAAAATGATTTGGTAGTTTTATTTTTTGATGTTTGCAAATGTTGTATTTTCCCTTTAAGCTGAAATTGATATAAGTGTTCAACTACTCGTGAAATTCCTCAAAATTGTGATAAATACATAGATTTGAGGAAGTTTTCGAATAATTTCTTCCCAACTTGAAGGTCAGCTTTACCAATAACCAGTATTGACGTTTCGGCATTGATGACTGCGATTTTTTTCACTGACAATGGAGTTTAGAATTTCTTCTTCAGTCATAATTTATCATTCAATCATACTGGGCATACTTTTCATAGAAACACAACAATCAAAGTGCCATTTTTTTTGGGGTGCATGAATTTCACTGTTCTGTTATAACATCAAGTATGTAACTGGATTTTCTTTGCTGATTAACGGGCCAAGCTTCGCCTTCGGAACAAACAATGTAGACCTGTTTGAGTGTCTCACCTGCCAGGAAGTTCCTTCAGCGCTCTCTCATAGATCAGACTGAGAGGGCCTTGGGCTCCCGTTGATCTGTGCTCGACGTAGCGCAACCAGCACTTGACTGCGTACGGGTTCCGCAAAATCTCTTCTTCATAGGGGAGATCATCTTCCTCCTGCATCAAAAGAAAGACGTTTGAGAATACATTACGCTGTTGATAGCTATCAGGGGTGCCCCCCCCCCCAAAGAAATAAAAAACTAATACTGGCCTGGGTCTGATAAATAAACTGATTTTCTTATGTTAAACCAGGGAAGTAAATCGATGCCGTAGGAAAAAGAGAATGCCCCCAATACTATGGTACTGATGTCAAATGAGGTCAAATTTTACCCCTAGAACTATGGCTGCTCCACGTATCGGAGCCGAGCAGCCATACATGTAGTTCAATACATGTAGGTGTAGTCAAATCCTTCCATCTCCAACCCCCCCCCCCCCCCTGCCACACCCTTCCCCCCCCCCCCCCCCCCATCCCACAATTTCCAATGGCCTGATTGTTTGGCCCCATCCACATTGAAAATTGTTTGATATCTGAAATACAAATATGACAAATAGGGCCAAGGCCGAGGGCCCGGGCCTATTAAAATTATTAATTATTAATTTCATTTTGGAAAAAACATTGCAACCTGACGCCACTTTTTTCTTCATATATCAATCATCTCAATGAAGCCATTGAAGGTCACTCATTGCAAAAATGATGATGAGACATGAATCCGGGACTGAGAAACATTTCCAATTTTGTTAGGAAAGACAAAATTTTCTTGACTCTCCATATAGACTTTGTACACAATCGCGGAAGTGGCGTCAGGTTGCAACATTTTTCCTTAAGCCTACGGCTTAATTTTTAATCACCAAAAAAAATTTTCATTGGTGTTTTTATTTTTTCCTTAAAGTTAAGCCTAAGCTAAGGGAGTGAGGCTTAATTTTTAGGCAGTGTATATTTTGCCGGAGACGGCAAACCTTTAGTAAACGTTAGTTTGCCGGATATGCACTGAACATGCGCAGTTTCTGTTTTTTTGTACTTAAAAATTTTCGAGTGACAAATTTTAGTCTGGCTCCATGCCAAAATTATCTTTGTAACCTCGTTTTCACAAGATGGGATTCAGACCATTTTATAATTTCGGACTTTATTTCCCTTTAAAAAAAAAAAATCCTCCAGAGCCACAAATCTGAAAAAGAAAATGTAATACTCTGCAAAAAAATGTTTGAGACATTTTAAAATAATAAATGAACAATATTCTTATTTATTTGGGGATGAGAAAAAAAAAACTTAAAAATGTGCTGCGGTCGGAATCGAACCCGAGTCTTCCCGCTTACTAGAGCCTTTACTTAACCACTACACCAAACGCGCTACACAACTTTTGGTGGGAATTTAATACATCTTATAATTCAGCCCTATCTTAAAGAGTACAGCGCCCTCTGTTAATATGGATTGCCGCCGGCAAACCTTTAGTAAATGTTAGTTTGCCGTCATTACCTCCGGCAAAATATCCACTATCTAATTTTTAATCACCAAAAAATATTTTCATGGGTGTTTTTATTTCCCACATTTTCAATGACTGATTATTGGTGATATTTAACGTTATATTCTGAAATACTTGTCTTCACAAATTAATTCACACTTCTTTGTTAAAGGCAAAACACATACGCAGCTATGGATATGTCGGAAATAGACGTCTACGCCTACCTTACACATTCGTGTTTTCTAACAAAACGTTCATTTCGGTTTATTTTAGTACAGTACTCACAAAAATGACTTCTGATTGCTGATCTGAAATAGGCATCCTTTTGCATTAATAAATTTCTATCAAACTGTACTGCCAACAAATCAATGGTGCTTAAAGATCAGGGAAAAACAGCAATTTTTTTCACGTGTAGACGACGGCAAATCGTTGCGGAGAATTCTACTAAATCGTGTCAACAGAACTGAGGTACGGTCACCGCCGTTTAGAAATTGACCAATCATAAAGCGCGATAGATAATGGGACAGGTTGCACATTGGGGGCAGTACACTGTTTTGCTCGCTTGAAATTTATTTTTTTAGCCGACGGAAAATAAGAATTCTTACGGTTGTGCATATCAAATGCGGTTGGAACTAGAGGAGGGACGGGCATCAACGAATGCCTTTAAGGTAAGTTCTTTCCGTGTTTATAATTATGTTATCTCTTGTTTGTTGGTGAATTTGGGTTTTTCATCATGTTCATTTTGACAGTCCAAACAAATAGCGCTGCGCTACGGCCCGTCGTGTATCACAAATTGTCCTCAATGTTATTTTGCCCCATGGACGCTTCGCCCCATTGACACTTTGCCCCATTGACACTTTGCCCCATTGCCATTTCGTCCCATTGCCATTTCGTCCCATAGTGTGAACTTACATTGTTTTAGCCTATACTGTAGCTAGTCCGGGAAAAAAAGTTGCAACCTGACGCCACTTCCGCGATTGTGTACAAAGTCTATGGAGAGTCAAGAAAATTTTCTAAGTACTAGGGGCCTAGTAGGGGGCCTATTTCCTAACAAAATTGGAAATGTTTCTCAGTTCCAGATCAGTCCGTTAAAAGTACGAATTCAACAATGTTGTCCTCTTTGACAACCATTGTCATGATTGTAATGTTATATTCAACAACTTCCGGTGTACATTAAATATTGTTGATGTACCCTAACGTGGCGCAGCCCATAACGCACCTTGATTTTTCGCCTGTAGCACCTACATGTAGCTAGAGAAAACATTTTTAACTGAAATTTCACAGAAAGTGAAATTTCATCAAGTTCTAAACACTCTCTTTCATAAATCATGAGTTTATCCACCCATTAAAAAGTTACAAGAAAAATGGCAAATAGAACGAATAACACTGTCGCTGTCGGGGCACATATTAAACCTAAAATCACAGTCTACATGTATAATATACCAATTTGGGATGTTTATAAATTACATAACGGTTTTGGTGAAACTATATAATAATTTACTGAAAACTGGGGACGAACTACTTCCAGCATGTGGTAGACCGCGACAAGTTTTGGTCCACCTGGGGAGATTGCCAATTTTGCCCTGTGATCAGAAAATTTGCTTTGACTGGAAAATTATAGTTCTCATTAATAGAGTAATATAGTAATATTATAATAACAGTAACTGAATTCATCGGAAAAGGATGAAGCGCCAGTCGACAAGATGGCGCCATCGCTTGACCAGTATACATGTTGTTGGAAGTTGTGAAAAGTTAACAAAAATTTCTTTAAAACGCACAGGCAAGTTTTTAATTTACGCAGATAGAAAGTTAGGTAAAGAATTGGAAATCAAATATAAAATTAAAAAGTACATCTTTTGCCTAGATTTTCCATCTTTTGCATTTGAAGTTAAAATTGTCGAAAACGAGAACAAGAATCGTGAAAATTTCAACAATGGTTGTCAAAGAGGACAACGTTGTTGCATTTGTACTTTTCCCAGACTCAGATTCATGTCTTATCATCATTTTTTGCAGTAAACGACCTTCATGGAGATGATGTACATGTATGAGGAAAAAAAGTGGTGTCAGGTTGTAAATTTTTTTTACTAGTCCGAGTAACTTGGACCCAACTTATCGCCTTTTTAACATTCGGACATGGTCTGGCGAAAGTAGGGTCCAAAATCGACACAATTCTGTTCTTGACCAAAAAAAACAACATTGCTCAACAAAAACATCAGATTTTTGTTATTATTAATCAAATGCCCTTGAGTCTTAACCATGTTAACAGTGAGTTGTGAAATTTTCTAAGTGGGCCTGTTTTCTAAAAGAAAAAAAGAAACACTGAAATGTTTCTCAGTTCTGAATTCATGATTATTGCAATGATTGACTATGTACATAAACATGATATAACTTGGTGAAAATCAAAACAGACATGTACGGTAAAACTGATAACCACTCCAAAACAAATACTTTATGTAATAAGTGTACAGTGCATCTGTGGTTACATTTGTGTTTGTTTTAAATTTGTAACCAGGTGAATATATCAGAGCAGTAGTGATAAGACCAATGAGCCAAACATTTGCTGCGTACCATGATTTTATGTATTGTTTAACTCTACTCTAGAAAATATAATGTTTCATTGTAATTTGTTAGAACGGACGTGTGCATGTATTGTACAGTACATGTACACTGTACACGTGCAGTTTATAACTTATAAGTGTAAAATTTATTAAGAAGTGCTTCAATCGATAACCGGTAGCAATTTAAAACCTCAAATGCATTTAGAATCACACTGTTATGTCGCAATTCCATAGTTCTACAGCAGTTAAAACAAACTGCATTTTTCTTATTAAAAGTTTCTATGGAAACATGCATTGTCAGCCTTGTTATTACTTGGGTCAATAATGGTCAAGACCCCCATTGGTTTGTACACAGTATGCCAGGAGGTGAGGAAGAACATTTTAACTGATTGTGACCTCTTAAATAGTAGGGGTTTGTTAATTAAATCTTTGTACACGACACAGATACAACTTTTTTGATGGAATAAACAATGGATTATTGCAATGATTGATTATGATTTACAATATACATAAACATGATAACACTTGGTGAAAATCAAAACCGAGCCTACATACAACTGATAACCACTCCAAATAGACACGTTATCTAAGTGTACAGTGAATCAGCAGTACTTAAAACATTCATGTTTGTTCAGTAGTAACAAACAATGTACATTACATGTGCAGTTTTGTATTATGCAATTTCGTATTATAGGCCTAAGTGTTTTATTAATTGTGTGTGCTTCCAGTGGAGTAGTAAATATAAATCAGTGTATTGTATGCTTCCATAAAAAGTACCCATTCCGTAAAATGACTGCATTTAAAAGTACCCAACTGACGACAATATTATTTTTGTAATCGTCCACATTCGGGCAATTTAGCAAATGTCGCTGTTTCCTACACGATCAACTCACGGTCGTTAACCAGTCAACAGAGCGCAGAGTGCGGCACCGTTACGTCCGCACACGCAGCAGCAGGGTACATTGAACATGTGTAGGCACACTGTTGTTAACTACCACAATGGCAGCTCCGAGCGGCATTGTTAAAAGCGAACATTCATTGAAATTTTGAGAAATGAAAACAGAGTCCTGAAATGTATTAGCTGGGATCAAGTCAGCCGGATATAGATACTATTAATCGTATTGAATGGCTTTTTCAGGGGGAACCAAAAATATATTGCACTCACTATAACAATATTTCACTCATCTTCGACTTGTGCAATCAAATACAGTAGCTCGTGAAATGGCTCGTGCAATAATTCTTTTATCTGCCTCAAAGCCATCCAATAGGCTATAATATAAATTTTTACAAACATGCATAAAAATTCATGATCAAATTCTCTGTTTTGACTTGTTTTGTTCGAGCATAATTTGACTTGTTTTGGCATTGAGCAACCATGCTACGTGTACACAATTAAAAAATTTTTTCCAGTAGAAGAAACGCAGCGGAAAGTTAATAATACGTACTGCTTCCTCATCACTTCCAGTGATTTTTGCAATCATCGTGGATTTTTTTGGTCTTTTCTCTTTTGAGTGAGATTAATCATCCGACAGCACGCTATGCTTCAAAGACAAATCAAACAAACAGAATCCCCCCCCCCCCACCCGATCTCTCGACGCCAAATTACCCATTTCAATTTCATCGCCGCTGGCCGAAGCTCGTTTGCAAGAAGACAAGACGGGGGCTCATCCAATTTTCATCTCATAATGATGTTTTCCTCGTACCGGTATATTCAGCCTTATAGCTGTTTCCACTGAGGAAGCAGATTTATTATAGGCCTAGTCTTAGCGGAAAAAGGTGTTTATATCTCTTCGTGAAAATTTGCAATAATATCTAGGGAAAATGTATTGGGCGAAAGAAAAAAATTCATGTTTAAAGTCCCCGCCCACTTCCATTGTGGAGGCTGTCTCCTTTTTTTTTTTTTTAATTGAAAAAAACAAACAAACGAAGAAATGATAAATTAATTGTCTTTTTCAGGGGGGGGAAAGTCGTACTTTAAGCTCTAAAAGCTGGTATGTCATTTCCTGAGTCCAAGTGGCGGCCATTTAAAAAAAAAAAGCTGATGGCAATCTTGAAAAATAGCCCGTCCATTCGTTTTGGAAAATTGGTCGGGCGGCCATTTTGAAAAAAAAGGGCCTCCTCCTTCCTTTTTCAAAAAGGCAGGACACTAAACATGTTTTTTTATGCCCCGCGGCGAAGCCGAAGGGGCATACTGTTTCCGCCTTGTCCTTCCGTGGGTGGGTGTGTGGGTGGGTGTGTGGGTGGGTGTGTGGGTGGGTGTGTGGGTGGGTGTGTGGGTGGGTGTGTGGGTGGGTGTGTGGGTGGGTGTGTGGGTGGGTGTGTGGGTGGGTGGGTGTGTGTGTGTGTCCGGACAAATCTTGTCAGCGCGATAACTTGAGAAATACTTAACATATGAACTTCAAATTTGGTTTGTGGATTGTTCTTGGTAATCCTAAGAAGCCTTTTGCATTTGGGGCCAAAAGGCCAAAGGTCAAGTTCACAGTGGCTAAAACAATAGAAATCTTGTCAGCGCGATAACTTGAGAAATACTTTACATGTGAACTTCAAATTTGGTTTGTGGATTGTTCTTGGCAATCCTAAGAAGCCTATTGCATTTGGAGCCAAAAGGTCAAGGGTCAAGTTCACAGTGGCTAAAACAATAGAAATCTTGTCAGCGCAATAACTTGAGAAATACTTAACATATGAACTTCAAATTTGGTTTGTGGATTGTTCTTGGTAATCCTAAGAAGCCTATTGAATTTGGGGCCAAAAGGCCAAAGGTCAAGTTCACAGTGGCTAAAACAATAGAAATCTTGTCAGCGCGATAACTTGAGAAATACTTTACATGTGAACTTCAAATTTGGTTTGTGGATTGTTCTTGGCAATCCTAAGAAGCCTATTGCATTTGGGGCCAAAAGGTCAAGGGTCAAGTTCACAGTGGCTAAAACAATAGAAATCTTGTCAGCGCGATAACTTGAGAAATACTTAACATATGAACTTCAAATTTGGTTTGTGGATTGTTCTTGGTAATCCTAAGAAGCCTATTGAATTTGGGGCCAAAAGGTCAAGGGTCAAGTTCACAGTGGCTAAAACAATATAAATCATGTATTTATTCTGAGATTATAGGGATTAGGGATTAATTCATATAAAACCTACAGAAGACACTAATGCTGTCAATGAATGTTCCATGTGACCAAGGTACATGTAAGTTGATGTTAAAAGAGTGGTGTTATGTCATGGGAACTGTCACCGTTGCGGGGCATTTGTGTTTGTAAACACACCTGACTTGTTTATATTTGGCCTTACACTACGTGTCTCATAAATGTTCAGGACAGCGTTTGATCCTAAATCAATTTTCTGTTTTCCAGTGGAATTAAGCTAAAATTTCAAATCGTGTAATCAAGACCTGTTATGAAAATTTTACAGAGTGAGTTCCATCAGCTTTGTGCAAGAGGCTGAGATTTAAAGTTAACTCCATACGAAAAAAAGTACTCACTTTCAGAATCTGCCACTTTCGACTTGGCGTCCTCCAATGTCGATACAGCGCTGGAGACGGTGGCGGAAGGCGCGTACTGCCGAAAGCTTCTGAAGGAATGCAGGATCACCCCTGATGGCATTGCACACCTCCTCGATCATTTGGCGCAACACAGGATCGAGGAGATGTGCAATGACATCAGGGGTGATCCTGCGTTCCTTCAGAAGCTTTTGAGCTCACCACTCGCCTTTCCGCACCGTCTCCACTGCTGTATCGACATTCTACATGTAAAAGTGAGTATTTTTTCGTATTGCATTTAAATCTTACCCTCTCGCACAATTGCCTTGTTTACATGATCTGAAATGTTGGTAAACAACAGAGTTATTTAGGATCAACAGTACATTGTAGGACATGTTTTTGTTGACATGTAGCAAGTCATGTAGTGTACATGCACATGTGTCATGTGTTATGTACATGTGTTATGTACATGTGTTATGTACATGTGTTATGTACATGTACATGTGTTATGTACATGTGTTATGTACATGTGTTATGTACATGTGTTATGTACATGTGTTATGTACATGTGTTATGTACATGTGTTATTTACATGTGTTATGTACATGTGTTTACATGTACATGCATGTCCATGTACATGTATGGACCATCCTTTTGATGCTATCTTTTGATGGTGCACATGATAGGAGCGTTGATGCAGTCATGCATGATGTACGTGTGCACCTGCCTGTAAGCACATAGCGAGCGGATTTAATTTCCCATAAAATAATAATGAACTTCAGAGCAATCAATTATTCAGCGAGAAGAGTGATTTCTGATATTCCTAACGTTTCAAGTATCACTGCATCCTGCCGAGTCAACTCCGATAGAATCCAATCAAATTAGAGTCTGAAATCAAAAATTGAAGTCGACAGGAGTTTTGATGAGAAATTTCTGAGAGTCAGGTTTACATTTTGTAACTTGTGAATTTGACTAGTCACAGTGCTTGCTGGAAATACATGGTCTGACTGTTGGTGACTAGCCTGTGTAAAAGGCATGGCAGGGGAAGAAGATTGATATTTTGACTGTCTGTGACTGTTCAGACTAGGCATGTACAGTCGTAATAGCGATTGCTCGGTATAGCGATTTTAAGCAGATACCGGTACTTAACTAGCTTGTGGTTTTTCACACATTGGTGGTGCCTTCTTTTAACCATAATTAGAGTGAAGTGGCATTTACAAACGATGCGCTGATTCGCCAAACTTGTCCATTTATCTCTTCAATTCCGTAAGCAAAACCTAACCCTGTATGCCCTGGTAGTTACTGAAAGATGACTTTGAACACGTGCGACTATTGAATCAGGTGATTACACAGATATTTTTTTAGCTTACCGTGCATGGGTGGCTTTTTCCTTCTTTTCCTTGGGGAAGTTGACATTTTTCAACAACAATGTTCGATACGTTTTGTACACAAAAATTTGGAGCCAAGGATGATGTTCGGTATAGCCGAATGTTTGGTAAAGCGGTGTTCGGTATAGCGACGTTTCACTTTACCGGTATGAGGCTAGGCGCGTTAATTGACCATTAGAATCTTCCCTTGATATTTTATGTTATAATAATATTATTATTAGGGTGGCATGGGTGGCTTGTGCGTAAAGGGCTCGCCTCTCTCCAAGGTGACCACGGTTCGAATCCTGGCCGCGGATCGCATGTGAGTAGAGTTACATGTATGCGTTGGTTCTCTCCTGTGCCACGAGGGTTTTTCTCTGGGCCCTCCGGTTTTCCTCCCTCTGGAAAAATCAAACACTTTCGATCTCAGGCTGTGCTCCGTGGTCATATATGGGTGGATGTGGCCGGCAGCCATAGGCGCCTTCACGTGCCAGCGGCCCGACCATGTTGTAGCCGCGTCCTTCGCAATTCAGCATACCAGCTGCGAGTAAGGATGATTAGCCTCCCAAATTATTATTATTATTATTATTTATGTATATCCTGGTCTTACAGATGGACGCGTCTTGCATGGAATTAGCCCTTGAAGGAGAACGGCTCTGCAAAGCGGGCAATTGTAAATCCGGCGTGCAGTACTTTGAGGCGGCCGTGGAAGTCGGCACAGATGACCTGCGCACGCTGAGCGCCATCTACAGTCAGCTAGGCAACGCGTATTTCTACCTTCAGGACTACACCCGTGCGTTGGAGTACCACAGGCATGACCTCACGCTGGCATGGTAAAGATTGACTCGGAAAAACACTGAATGCAGTGGTTGAAGTTGAGTCCATCGCTAGACACAGTCATAAGCAGGCATGCAACTTTTTCTCGGATCCGCTGATTTCCTCGTTTTTATTTCTCGGGAATGCCATTACAAATTGAAAAAAAACACTGTACAAAGTCTTTTGTGGTTTTGAATTTCCTCGTTTTTTTTCTCGAAATTCCCAGTTGCATGCCTGCATAAGTAAATCACAAGGCCTTTCGCTATTGACTGGGGATGAGCAGTACAAAGGAATGCATTTGAAGAGGTCTCGCTCAAATGACGTCATTTCCTACAGACAAGCCACGTGCGTCGGCATTTTCAGCGTCAACTTGCATTTATAACGCGCATCGGCTGCGTCGTGTTTTGAACACATTTCGAGCAATAAGCGTGCATATTTGGAGCATTTTCAACACTGCGCAATGCATGCTTGATTGCATAAGATACGCACTTTGCAGTTCTACTGAGATTGCCGTCTTTGAGAGAGGTTTTTAGCTTGTGACTTGAAACGTGAGGACTTGTGATGGATTTGTGAGGACTTGCAATGGACCCTACTTCAAAACTGAATTTCTAATGTTGAAGGCCTGTCATATTGTTTTACATTCAACCTAACCCTCCTCAATCCCCCAAAATCCTTCAGGTGGTTTTGCAGGATTTTGGAGGACTGAGGCTGATTTTAGAGGATGCATTGTGTCGAGTTTGTAGGCTGTACCCTGCGTTATGTTCAGCCATTCGTAATAAGCACTATATGTGCCATCTTGCTTACGGGGCAAATTTACACGCATTGCTGTGTGCGCATCATCAATTGAAAACTACCTGTGCTTCAGTGTCATCTACGCGTTCGTTCTAAATTACGCCCGCATCTAAGCAACACGTACTCTTTTTACCCCGTGAATAAGATGGCACATATTACCGTGAAAGTGCTTATTGAGCCCGGCATTACGCTCGATATCATCCGCACTGTTTCTGAATGTTATCAGAACTGCCTCAACCCATTAACAGTGATTGTTGGAGGATTTTGAAGGATCGAGGCAACAGTCACCCCGCCACTGAACAAATTCAAGAAATAATGGATGATTTTGCGGGATTGAGGTCGAAGCCAATTTTTACATGGTGGCAATTGGAGGATTCTGCAGGATTGAGGATGGTTCCTAGCCAAAAGGCCTTGGGGTGTTAGGGTTAAGGCACTTCAACTTGAAACACGTGTACGTGTAATCTGCAATTTCAATCCAGGCAAATGTACATTTCTGATACTTACATGTTTGTAAGAGGAAGCCTGAATTCCAACATGAAGTAGTTTGTCTTGTGTGTTTGACTGTTGAGGGGCTTTTCTTTGACAACATTTTATTGAAGGTCTGCCGTATTTCCAGATTATGTTTATTTCATTTGTGCACATATTTTTAAGCATGTTAAGTGTCCTGCTTCTTCACTTTCTTTGTCTGTATTTGTCTTTAACATTGCATGGTACTGTATTTATAGGCTATCTGAAAAAAAATCCATGGTGAGTTGTTGTTTCATTAGACATTGAGAAGAAAAGCATACATGTAATGAGATTGCCTACTTGGCTTTTGCTTTTTCAGGAGCAATCCTTGACTCCCAGTGAATTAGTCAATTACCGAACCTCTCATTTTGATATTTGCATTTCATCAAGAAGTCCAATTGCCTCCAATCTCAAAAGCTTGGCTCCACAACCTTCCCAAATTAAGACTGCCCCATCAATAAACAGTATCCCCCATGGCTGTCTCAAGACCTATTGTCATTTCATCAGCCTTCATCCTCAGTCTTGGACAAAACGCCGTCCAATATTTGAGAGCTAAATCCTTTTCAGAGCAGTCGTTTTCTTTAATTTTTTGGCCTTTCTCTTTCCTGTCCAGTCTTAGGTTTAGCTTTAGTGGTCTCTTGGGTGCATAGCATCACTCGCTTCTAACTGCGGCCTGAAAACGTGATCAATCTCCCCCCGACTTAACAGTCAAATCTCCCCATGGATGAAAGCAATTTTTACCATCTCCTTGTTTTTATTTAGCTCTCTTTCCATTTCTCTCTCTCCCGTTTTTCATTTTCCTCAGTCGTCTTTTTATAGATTCACCGCATAACGCGCTCCTAATTGCATCTGGGCTTTTAAGCAAGTTGTTGTCGGGGAATAACTCGACGGGGGGCCTCGCGTAGATTATGATGTACACTTGGCGTTTTGACGTCGTGCGTCGGTCGTATAATATCTATCGGTCCATTTGTAATGTTATACTCGTCTGGCATGGCCTTTTCTCGTCGTTAGGTCTAGACACGGAGGTATCGCGGGTGTTGATGTCGTGCTCTGAGGATCCGCCTGGAGTGGGGCTCCTTCAGGACGAGCATTTCCTTTCGTCATTTCACGTTTTCCCCCGATTGTTGGCAATTGTCAAAAATTTTCACAATGTAATATTCCACGCTACTTGGAAGACAAAAATGGATTTGAATTTCCTGGATTATGAGGTTTTAAATCCTTCTGCAATCTTGACTTCCTAAGGTTTTAACAAAAAGGTGTCTTTACCTACTGTCATGACTGTACTTGTATACCGGTATAAAGGTTACATGTACATGTATAGACAACGATAGAGAGCAAAAAATATACATGTAGTAAATTTATTGTAGTTAATTTAAGGTGTTCATTTAGGCAAATTATACAAGCATGCCATGGGACCCTATGTTGCATAGGCAAGGGGGATTGGGGCCCTCAGTAGCTTCTAAACGACTCTGCCGATTATTCCGTGGATTTTTCATTTTCCTGCGATCTGACCCTGGATGTACATGTACATGTACGTGTATGCAATTTTTTGAGGGATGATAGGCGTGGATTAGGAGGGGGTGAATTTACGTTCAGGTGTCACATCTATCAGGCATTTACATACTGTTAACCATTACTTTTATCCCTCATACCGGTATTTTCATTCTGCATGTGCATGTAACAGCAATAATATGATAGTGCCAATTCTTTTGGTCTAAGCATTTTTTGTCTAATTTCATTCCCCGTTGTTTTCCCCTCTTTTTTGATCAGTCACAGACAGTGAAAATTTCAATCCTGTTCCCCTGCCACACATTTACATGTATACACAGGCTAGTCACCAACAGTCAGATCATATTTCTAGTAGGCACTGTGACAGTCAAATTCCATCAATGGACAGAAGCAGGTGACTGGTAGGCACAGCTGGCTTATCAATCACCTACAGTCAAAGCCTAGCTATCAGGTTTCATAACAATCACAGCCAGTCAATCCTGCTTCATGAAGGCAGGGAGCACTCAACTGTTAAAAAACAGTCACTTGATTTATTTTGACTGCTGGGCTGGCCTTGTTGAAATTGCCAGCCAGAGAGGGAGGGTCAAAATTGCACATATCCCATCATTCGATTCAAGTCAATATGAATCTCGGCACCGTACACTCACAAGGCCCCCATCAATGGAGAAACCATTGTGCAAGCTATTGTACAAAGCAACTGCCCCATGATGAATTATCTGAACAATAGCTAGCACAATGCGTTCGCCATTAAAGGGGGCCTTCCTGATAGAATTGATGTTGTAATCAGAACAAGAATTTACTAGGTTTTCCGTGTAGATTAAATCAGGAATATCAGAATGAGTTTTTTTTTTTCATTTCCTGTTTCCTTGATTAATAATTATTTTTTTTAATTTCACTTTCTCTTTGTCAGCACGTTAGGGGACCACATAGGAGAAGCCAAGGCAAGTGGTAACCTAGGCAACACGCTGAAAGTGTTGGGCAAATTTGACGAGGCTATTGTGTGCTGCCAACGACATCTGGATATATCGAGGGAGCTTGGTGATAGGGTAAGGACTGAGACAGTGTTGTGCAAAATGTAGTCTAGATAATTGTGATGGATCCCCAGAACATTGATATCACAAGTCTGATCATAAACGTCACGAGCCTGTTCACAAGACTGATCACAAACAATGCAAGACTGATCACAAATATCGCAAGACTGATCACAAATATCACAAGACTGGTCATAAACGTCACAAATCTGGGAACAAGACTGATCACAAACATCACAAGACTGGTCATAAACATCACAAATCTGTGAACAAGACTGATCACAAACATCACAAGGCTGGTCACAAAAACCGCAAGTTTGTTGGCAAGACTGATCACAGACGTCACAAGACTGGTCATAAACATCATAAGTCTGTTCACAGAAGGCTGATCACAAACATCACAAGACTGATCACAAACATCTCCAGACTGGTCATAAACGTCACAAGTCTGCTCAAAAGACTGATCACAAACATCACAAGCATGACAAGGCTGGTCATAAATATCGCAAGTCTGTTGGCAAGGCTGATCACAGACATCACAAGACTGGTCATAAACGTCACAAGTTTGCTCAAAAGACTGATCACAAACAGCACAAGGCTGGTCATAAACACTGCAAGTCTGTTCACAAGACTGATCACAAGACTGGTCATAAACATCACAAGACTGGTCATAAACGTCACAAGTCTGTTCTCAAGCCTGATTACAAACATCACAAGACTGGTCATAATCATCACAAGTCTGTTCACAAGACTGATCACAAACATCACAAGACTGGTCATAAACGTCACAAGTCTGTTCACAAGGCATGCAAGGCTGATCACAAACATCACAAGACTGATCATAAACTTCACAAGTCTGTTCACAAGGCTGATCACAGACATCACAAGACTGATCATAAACGTAACAAGACTGGTCATAATCCACACAAGTCGGGTCACAATGAAGAAAGAGCTTCGACCTTTCGACCGATCGTTTGTTATTTTTGTCAACTCAGGCTGCTGGGGCTAACTGCAGCGCACAAATTTGATTGAATATCTTTTTTCTTAAAATTTGGAAATTTAATTTGATTTGCAGGGTATCATTAGATACCCTAAGTACTGAGAGAAATGTACATGTACATGTGTGTACATGTACATGGACACGGACAGTGTATACTATGTACTGGACTGTGTGTCCCGTCCAGTCCGGTGCACAATGTTGTATATAAAAAAATGTATAACAAATGTATAGTGCTTTACGAAGCACATCTTCGTCAATTTTTTTTTAAAAGTCGTCAAGACAAAGTACAAAACAAATGATGAGAAGGGGAAATACAAGTGACATAAAATTGACATAATTTCTTTCCTAAATTAAAAAAAAATTGTCCTTTCTCTTTTTCAACATATGACACGGTTTAGACACAATAAACAATTTACGTGTATAAAATTGTATAGGGCCTAATTGTACATAAATCCGTATGAAGGAGAGGTGTAGATTTTCCTTTTTTAGGAATTTTGAATGTTTTTTCCTGAATATTTTCACAAAGAGCTTGCAATTGATACAGTTAACATGGTTAATACAACTTTCAGCGAATGAATTTCTTTTTGCACATTTTCTTGCTTCTTGAAAATAAAACAGCAATCCAAGCTTGTTCAACAAATAAAAGCAAAACCAACCAAATGAAAACTAAAGTGAAAAGCAGAATCAGCGAATCAATTGAAAACAGCCCACTGCCGATGTTTGAAATTGTTTTTTTTTTCTTTATCATAATTTGATCGAGAAAGGACTTTAGACCGCCTTGCAGTGGTTGTCATTGCATGCTGTACACAGACAGTCATATTGATGACATAGGTTGTCAAGTGTACCCTTGGCATCAGCAAGAACGTGGCTTTCTAATGGCCGGCTCATGCCGCAGCGTCGTCAGAGATAATTGCCGGGATTAGGGCATATGCTGGCTGATGAGATGTGGCGATATTGCTGGAGATATGCAGCATGAAGATGTGCATTTAAGAGCAATTACATATGTACATGTACGATGGGATGCTGTATTATCGCAGTACTGATCATGTTTCTTGATCGGAATAGAGATTAATCTTCCCGAATCGTCCTGTCTTTTGTGTTGTTTAACTAAAATAAAATTCACTGAGACCATTCTACTGTTTGACTATTGGAGCGCACCGCGCACTTTATACGGTGTGCCGTTTAGTTTACGTACAGTACACAATATATACATGTAGTCCTTATTTAGATTCCATACAAGTTTTTATGCTTTGCGCATTTTTCAGCCATAAGGCCAACAAAAAATAGTTCTGCTTCTGGTTACCCTACCTACCCTATTTTGACAGCCCGTAGCCAATTTGTTTTTTTTAAATGGGGAAAAAATCCGAAAACCATCAATTACTACATTTTACCCTTTACTACACGCAGACACCTCAATATGATCGTACACAAAAATTGTGTCTCCCCCCCCCCCCCCAAAAAAAATCCCTACCTACAAGTACCTACCCTATTTTCAAATATCATGTAATCGGAAGCAGAACTATTTTTTTTGGGGGGGGGCCTTATTGTAATTGCACATGTACCGTATACAATATGCATTGGCTTAACTACCCTCCCCCCAAAAGAAAAAAAATCTACAAGATTTCTTTGCAAACTGCCCAAACAACTGAAAAGATCACACAGCTTTTACACTTTTTTTGTAGGAAAAGTGAATATTAAACATATTGTACAAAAATGTGTACATGTACAGTGCACTGAAATATTTTGGCACGGAAATGTTTCCGTGTGAAAAAAAATTACTTTGTATTTTGTACATGTAAGTTCATGATAAATTGATCAGAAATTCAATCTGCATTCTTGAGAGACTCCACCTCTTAATCCTTTGCCTTCCTTCAAAGTCTTCAACTCGCCATAAATGACACGTCGCCATCAAAAGATTTTCAAAGGCACCTCCAATCTGATAAATTATCTCGTGCCGTCATCCGTCATTGCCCAGAGCTCTTTGAATGCCTATGTCCCCCTTTTAGCCGGCGTTTTCATTAAGCTGTGCCGTCGTAAAGTGACAAGGGTTTACACAACACTTGAGTGGAGATGTTTGAGGTCTACTGGTCTGAGGTCTAGCTAGGCGTCGGAAACCGTCGCTGACTGCGTGACATTTCCCAGTTTCTCGCTAGTCTTTTTTCGGGACTGGATTTAGATTATTAATCCCTCAAGCTTGGTCAAGCTTCCACAACTGTAAAGGTCATTATCAACAATCCAGTCTCGGGAATTTTGGCAGCGCTATCCAGGAAATTCTGATCATACACATGCACCTCACACACATGTCCATGGAGCGCTGTGGTCCAGTGGTTGCAGTGTTTGACTCGTGTGCCGTGGTACGTAGCTTCAAACTCTGAGTCTGACTGGGATCACAGTGCTTGTGTTCTTGGGCAAGACACTTTACTAGCATTGCCTCTGTCCACCCAGGAGTATTTGAATGACTCATGTGCAATGGTACATGGGTTCGAACCCTGACAGGGAAAGATGGCGCTTGTGTTCTTGGGCAAGACACTTTACAGTTGCCTCTCTGTACCCAGAAGTCTAATCTATAAATGGGTACCTGTGAGGGTAGAGACCAGATTGCGCTGATCTCGAGCTGCTGCTCAAAACTGATCTCATGGCCTGATGAACAAGGGTAATAATTTCGAAGCGCTTTGAGACCTTCGTTTCAAATGCAAAACATGACTCGGCAATTTTTTAATTGAGATCTAGATCCTAGAATTTTTTTTTCTCCGAATATACCGTACAGCGTTCACTGAGCTAAAACTTCATTAGGTTAGTTGTTAAGCACTGTTCTTTAGATTTTGAGCACTTTTGTTGCTTCAAACGAAAAAAAAAAAAACCACACAATTGACATACATGTACTCTACCTCACCTATCTACCTGCAATATTACAATGTCGCTTATGAGATATCGTTATGCTTGAAGTCAAAATTCTGAGTATGTTGTCGGGTTGTGATCATATTTGTAATGTGCATGTCATGTGCATGTATACATTTTCTCAAAAGTATAAAGCCAAATAAATTTACTAGCTAAACCGCCTGTCTGCAGAGCAGCTAGAATTGAGTCCAGACCGTAGGAATGATTGATGATGCTGGACGATCTCTCCTCAACTTCCTCTAAACAAACTGGCGCCCGAAGCAGCAGAAAGCGAGACCTACTGTAGTTTCCTATACTGCTACTAGTGCATTCTTCCCCCGTCAATAATTGCACAAGGGCGGTGCTCCGTCCTGACTTGCTGATGGCATCGCAAGGGTTTTGAAAGACGGACTGGGGAACGGGGAGGGAAATGTGAGGAGGGGAGAGGTGACGCAAGGGGTGACGCGAGGGGTGACGCGAGGGAGGAGGATAATGACGCTAGGGTGTAACACTAGACGAACTACTGTGCATGAAGACAGAGTGCAGAGACACAGATATGGGAACCCATACTATCTATTACCATGATTATACTCTTTGTAATATTCCAGCCCCACGGTTTGGCTTGTTCATAAAATAACGCTTGTACAAAATGCACGACTTTGGACCCTAAATTTAAAGGGAAAATACAACATTTGCAAACATCAAAAAACGAAATGATCAAATTATTACGAAATACCTTACTGAATTGTTAGGGACTGACAATCTATAGCATCCTTTAAAATTGTGGCTCCTGGTGGGCTGACATTTTCAAGAAAAACTGTATTTTTCCAACGCTGGTCGGCCGACCAGCGTTGGAGAAAACTGGCTTTTTTCAAAAACTGTTCTTAATTTTTCATATTTACAAAAAAAGTTATTCTGACTTTTCTTTGCAATTGATCACACACCTACAAGCCTGCTAGACTGATTCTCTGACCTTACAATTCCCCAAAGTGTATTAATTGCTTCGTTTCATCTTAAGTGGGGTCAGGGAACCAGACTACAAGAACATGATAGGTTTTCTTAGTTTTTCCAGCATCTACAAGCCCAAAACATGAAACAAGTCAGTTTAACAATATTTTATATAACATACTAATCCTTC